CATGCCTGTGTCCTGGGTTCAGCAGTAGCAGTCATGTTAAACCACGACAGCCTGTTAAACCAATAAAGTGATGTGAATGGCAGAACGACTGCTTCTTCCGCATATGGCTCCAAACACTGAAGAACTGCCCTGCTTAGGAGCAGCGATGGTGCAGTGTCAGAGCAGGGGAAGCCTCAGCGCAGTGATTAAAGCTGAAGAATCCCGCAGCTCAGGGTAACTGCCAATGTCCTCTCATCATCCCGCTATGTAATGAGAAATCTATTCTTTATCTCCTTCCCTTTCACTCCTTAAACTCAACATATTGGCATTTCTAATTTTGCAGGAGCTTTCTGCAGAAGGAGCCCTGTGCAATGCATGCGAAACATCACTGTTTAAATAGGACAAACGATGCATGGCCAGAGACATCAAATAACCACCCACCTATCGTTTGTGCAAACACACCAGCCAGTACTGATGGGCACAGACCCTGTCTCTGCTTACCCTGAGTTTTCAGGGCTGCGCCACCCTACATCAGAGACCAATTCACCCGCGGAGCTCACACAGCTCTGTGTTCCGCACCGACTCCCACCGGCCCCTGAAGTCCGTTCAAAAGCTCTGCGGGTACAGGCAGGAAAACCCCCACGTTCCACAGACCTGAGCAACCCTGACTTCGGGTCGGGACCAGCTCAGGAACCCCTCCTGCTCCCGTCACCCTGTGAGTTCACCCTCTGCCGGAGCCGCGCAGGACCCGGCCCGGGGCTGCGCTGCCTTTCCTGTGCTTCCAGCGCCACCTCGTGGGCAGAAGCGGGAACCTCGGCTTCCGGAGCTCCAAGGAATCCGACCGGACCGTGTCCCCCCGCCCGAGCGTGGAGTCAGCCGGTGGCGGAGGCAGAGGCAGACCCGCACCGGCGGCAGCTCAGCAGCGCCTCCGACACCCGCAAGTGCCAAACCCTTCTCATTTTACAGAGCACATCAGCTCCCCTGTGCTCCCCATGAACCCACAGAGATGCTGGGATGACACCCAACAAGTGACAGAAACGATCAGCCCCTAGGATGAAACCAAAATGAAGTGTTAACCTGGCTACAAATGCCAAACCCTCTAGTTAAATGAATTAATGGGACCATCAGTAAATTATGTGAGCAGGGGTGGCTGCTCTTCTCCTCTCTGTCAGCCCAACTCTTTCCCCAGGGAAAGGTTTGGAGTGATTTTCAGTTCCCTCTGAGTGCCCCAAGCTGCAGCCTATGCTGTGGGATGCACACCTCACCCACCAATATAACCACATAAGTTGCAGACAACTGCTGCGCACCCTCACTGGGAATGGCTTGTTCAGATTGGATCAAGTTCACTGACATGAAAAAAAAAAACAAAACACCAAAGCCCTAGGCTGGATTTCCTTGTCCCTGGTCCCAAATGTAAATGTTAGGACCAAACCTGCTCTGCATCAGCAGCTGCCTTGATTGCTTCTTTGGCCTGGGACTTCACAGAGGCCCGGACCCCCCATCCGTGGCAGTGTTCAAAGCCGGGTTGGATGGGTTTTGAGCACCCTGATGCAGTGAAAGATGTCCCTGCCCATGGCAGGGGGCTGCTCTTTAAAGTCACCTTCCAACACAAACCCAAACCGTTCTGACTTCATTCTGCTTTCCTAAAGCGGCTAGAATAATCACTTGACAAATTACATTTAGGAGGTTTTCCAATGAGTGCTATTCAGCATGATTATCTGGTACATATAGACGTCCATTAAAGAGACAGAAAAGATCTTACCAGCTTCCCTAATGGATGTACCAAACTGTTCTGCCAGATCTGATAAGCTCTGAAGATGATTCCCTGCAGCCTTAACCCCTTAACTGGGGCTGGATGCCAGTTCACACTTATGTTTGGTTATGGAGTTGCAATAATCAGCAAGGGATGCTCCTCACTGTTGCGTCTGTGACCCACTGAAGCCTCCCTGTAAGGCTTTAGGTAGGGTTTGTGCTATGCTTGCAGCACCAAAGCCTGCTTCATGTCTGCAGAGGCACCTGCAACTGAACACTCAAGTTCTGCCCTTCTGTGATCAGAGCTAGGGGCCCATGGCAGTGAGCACACACCTGCAAGAAGCAGAGAAGATGCTTGGCCATTAAAATCCCCCAATTGTCTTTCCACAATTCCTGCCTTCCAAGTAAAACCATTTCTCTCAGCTCCAGCTCGTGCACACATGCAGTCCCTTCCCAAATGCAAGCTGGGTGCTCTGATCTTGCTGCTATGGAAAGCTGGAGCAGGATGAATTAGAAACTCCAAGCAAACCACTAATGCCTTGTAAAGCACCAAGAAAGAAAGATCACCTCCGGGGAGGTAAGTTACTCAAGTCTATAGACAGCTGCATGTCTAAAGAAAGTACCTTAATTCAGTAATCCAGCAATAAACCTCAGGAGATAAATGCTGTAATGACTATTTATATTTTCCTCTCATGCCTGGATTCATTCTTGATTGGATCCTCTGTAGTTTGTAAGGAGAAAAGCAGCAGTTTCCAAGTGCCACTCATCATGTGTCTGCCTATGAGGATCCTGACTGGAGCATCTCAACTTCCAAATTACATGGAATAAGGCTGAGCTGTAAAATTGTGTACACAGCAGCTCATAATTGCAGCTACTGCTGGAATAAATCACAGTGAGCGTCAAACGTTCCAGGCCTGAACTGAAGAGGGCTCTTCAGCTAAAGTGGCCAGAAAAGCTAACCCCAAACCACAACCAGACTGAGCCCAGTGACCTCCTGGAAAGGACCTGCAGGATTCAGGTTTGTATTGTACCTAATACATGAGACTCCCAGCAGCTGAGTGCTCTCAAGCACATTACGTATGTTTTTGGTCCATCTCGGCTATAAAAGTGAACAATTTAGCACAGTTGCTATCCCCCAAATCCTCTGAAGCCTGCCTTTGGGTGGGTGGTTGAGCCACCACACTGTTCAATCTGCAAGCAGGTGCAGCAGCCTGTTCTCACTCCCTGTCTGCATTAATTACAAGCAGAGTTATTTGATGCCACGTGTGCTGAATGAACACACAGAATTATTTTACCAACCAATAAAATTAGAATCCCAGACTGGGCTGGGTTGAAGGGGCCTTAAAGCTCATCCAGCTCCAACCCTGCCACAGGCAGGGACCCCTTCCACTGGAGCAGCTTGCTCCAAGCCCCTGTGTCCAACCTGTCCTTGAACACTGCCAGGGATGGGGCAGCCACAGCTTCTCTGGGCACCCTGTGCCAGCGCCTCAGCACCCTCACAGGGAAGAGCTTCTGCTTTAGATCTAAGCTGACCTTCCCTGGTTTCAGCTTAAACCCATTGCCCCTTCTCCTATCACTGCAGCCCTTCTGCAGTATTTAGCTCCTGAACCTCTGTGATTATGCATCGCAGCCTACTTTTAAAAGGCTCCCAAGTTTACAAATAACTTAAGCTATCCTCTTAGCATACTGTAAGACAAAATACTTTTATTAAAAACCATGTTCTGACTTGCACTGAGGGTTACGCATACATTACAAAAGCTTATAACATCAAACAGCTTCTCAAAAGCATCAGCTTTCTGCAATGTACATCCATAGCCCAAACAGCAGATACTTAAACCAACAAAGCTTTATCACAGCCATGCCCATTAAGCCTTATCTACTTCTTGAGCAGCCAGAGCACCCCTGTGGTGCCTGCATGGGCAGCACTGCAGCTCCAGGGGCTGACAGCAGTTGGCACGTACCGGAGGGTCAGGGCAGGAGCAAGGCTCCGGCTCCCATCTCACCCCATGCCCTCGTGTTGCTGAGCCCCCACCCCTCCTGTGCGACCCCACCGAGAGATGCGCAGCTGCGAGGCTTGAACCAGCAGGAGGAGGAACCCGAGGCCGAGCAGCCCGAGACGCGCGGCTGCTGCAGCAAGGGCATCCCGGACCCATCCTGATGCAGCCGCATCCCGGTGCCGCCCGGGTGCACCCATCCATGGCAGAGAACAGGCAGCCAGGGCAGCACTGGGCACCAGGCAGGGCTGCAGGGACAAACCCCTCCCACACACCAGCTTCACCCACAGCTCCTGGCCCGCATCAGCCTTTTCATAGGGAAACAATGGATTTAAATGGATTTCTTACCACCGCAGGAGCTCTTCACTGGGAATACAGAGCCTCGGTGTCCAAGGCGAGAAATCATGGCAGCACTGAGCCTGGGAGCCAAGAGAGGGAAGGAAGCACCCTGACCGATGGCACTCTTGCACCCAGCCCCTTTTATAGCATCCCACAGGTGAAGTGTTAATTGTTAATCACTCAGGTGCTCCCCATCTGCCTCTTCATGGTGGGTGCTCATTAGCACTCCCCGGTGCACAGCTGTGCATGCTCCTCTCACATGTAGCCTTGCAATGATGTCAGAAGCAACACTGTGCAACCTTCTATTGCAATGAGAATTACGGAGCAGTTATTACCTCTGATACTGTCACATAAAATGAGCTGAGAACAAAGCATAGCAGAGCAGTGGCTCAGGGACAGGAGAAAGGTGAGTCCCAAGAATGCTACTTGTGCAGCATTAGACTGTGACCTACCCGAGTAACTGGGGTGACAGCCCAGCATCCGACTGGGTCATGTCCCATGGCTGTGCACAGAATGGGAGATCCTGTGGCCTGAGAGCCAGGGTTGCACCGGGAAACCATCATAGGATGACAGACAGTTTGAGTTGGAAGGGACCATCAAAGCTCATCCAGTCCAGCCCCCTCCAATGAGCAGGGATATCTTCAACCAGACCAGGCTGCTCAGAACCACATCCAGCCTGGCCTTGGGTGTCTGCTGGGATGGTGCTTCCTCCATCTGTATGGACAGCCTGTGCCAGGGTTTGTAAAGAAGCTGGGTCCTGCCCTGTTGGTTCAGTGGCAGCACTGGGAGATGTCCCAGTTCACAGCGTGCTGCACGGGGACACTTCTACTGCAGCTGGGACTTCATGGGAGCTCACCCAGGTCGGCCCCAGCCCATGCCACAGGGACAGTCCCAAGGAGCTCATTTAATGCTGTCGCTTTATGGCCATACAGAGCGTAGCACACAAAATATGTTATTTATTGTGAATTTTGCAAAGACACATTTAAGCAACAAAATATACATTTGTGAACCTTTAGTTTTATACATAACAAATACAATCTGCTACCATAGCAATAAATTAAATGTACATTATTTACAACAGACATAGGCCACCAGGAACTACAAAGCACCGCCTCTCTACATAAAAAATAAACTCTGTCAGATACATTTCTTCAAGATATATTTTCACTCTGTAAACTCTCTTCACATTCTAACGCTATAAATCCAGCATTTCCCTTTGCAGGATACACGCAGTGCTACATTCGTTAAAACATAATGCAAGCATGCTCTGGGACGGGGAATGACGGACCCGGCCAGCTCCAGCGAGCAGCAAAGCAACGTGAGCACGAGGTGCGACCTGAGGGTGCTGAGCGCTGACCTGCTGCTGGCTTGGAGCAGTTATCGGTGCTCAGCACCTCCTGCAGCCAAGCCAGAGAGAGGCAGACAGCTCAGCCCTGGTCAACAAGCCCATCCGTGCCAGCCGCCCCTTCCCCTGCCGCTGCTAAAGACCCTCAAAGCTCTGGAAAGAAACCGAGTTTGTGCTTCAGATCCTCCCTTTTCACTCAGAAAAAAAAAGCACTTTCATGTTGTGCTGGGGTGTAACCCTGTGCTTGGCTCTGTGGGGTATCAAGAGGGTGTAAGTACATGCCAAGAGCTTTCCTGAATGAAGCAGCAGCTCCAACCGGTGCCTGGGCTCACACAGGTGGTGGGGAGCTGGGTTCCACCTGCCTGCAGCACCAGCACTGAGGAGATGGACCCAGACCCAACCTGCCTCTGCCTCTCACCGGGCTCATGGACTGGTCCAGGCCAAGCACAGGCAGGCTGCAGCAGGAGCAGGGGGGAACTGAAACCCCAGCAAGGAGTGGAGCAGCCCCCCACAACACGAGAGACGCCCAACACAGCTGGGGGCTCCCCTGGTTCCCCCCAGCTGCATTCCGGAGCCCCTTCTGCTCCCTGTGCAAAGTCCTATAGAAGTTATGTGTACAATGGTGGGGATCAGAAAGGAAAATGCACTGGCCAATACTGTTAGTGTCAGTTGAGGATCCTTTCTTTTTATATATATATATATTAGATATATATATAAAATCCCTTTTATATATGTCTATATGTGTGTGTGTCACTTATAAGCACAAAACATTTTGCAGTATATATACAGGAACACCTTCACCCACTGCGGGAAGTGCAAATGCCTCCGAGGTTTAACACAACCACTGGTCAGTCCCAGCACCAGCGTGGGCTGAAAGGTGCACACCATGCACACGTGGCTGCAGGGAGCACAGGCGGAAACCACGCTGCGGCCCAGCCAGGACATGAGCTGTATGGCCCAGGGGCTGTAAGGATGCTGCAGCGGGTTTGTGCAGCCATAGTGAGGATGCTGTTGAAAACATCCCAGATCATCCAGGAGCTGCTGGCAAAGCCAGTGCCAGACCTCAGCTCCTGGCCCCACTGCCAAGGCAGGGACAAGCCCCACGCACTGCATCTCTCTCCCTGAAGCTCCACACTGTGCTGCTGCCTGTAATCCCATTAGAATAGTTCTACAGATCAACAAGGAAAGTCACAGTTTCAAGTAAAAAAACCCAAGCAAAACCAAAAATGAAACCCCAGCTGACAGTAGCCACTGCATCTTCTGCTGAAAGATCTCATGGAGATCAACACCCAGGCAAATGACGACGTCTACAGAATCAAGCAACTTCTCAGGGCAAAAAACAAATCCAAGACAGACCCTCAAAGCAAGTCGTTGCACCAGTCAGTGTTTCACTGCGGCATGAGAAAACCAGACCAAACGCTTCTAAGGGGAAGAACTGGGGACGGGTTTGAAAGTGCTACCAAAGCATCGTCAGACAGAAGTGCTGAACAGCAAAGTATGTGGGACCTGAGACATCTAGAGCGAGCTAGGGACCAGGCTAAGCACACGGTGCTTCTCTTCTAAAGAAAACCTCGAGATTTGAACTCTATTTAAATGCAGCTCAGTGAAAGCAGGAGAGTGTCCCCACTGGTGGTTATTGGTATTTACGAGTCCTGCACAGCCCACTTAGCGCCTGTGAAACTGTTCTCTGCCTTCCCACTAAGTCTTTTCCCCCTTTAATTTGGTTCCTCTGCAGCCTTTCCTTTCCAGATAAATGACGTGCACAAGTGGGAGCTCCGATAGGAACCTACCAGTGAAGTTATCAGATAGATAGCCCCATGCAGAGCCTCAGGGAGCAGAGCCGGCTCGGTTTGGCTTTGCTCTGGCCCAGGGGAGGTGATGGGAAGAAGGGAGGTGATGGGGAGGAGGGAGTTGATGGTTTGCTTCTACAAGCACTTCCCCCAGAGAGCCGCATCCTCCGGGGAGCAGCCACGGTGGCTGCCTGGGGCTGCTTCTAGGGGTATAGCTCTGCAGGCACCTCCTAAATCTGGCTGTGGGGTACTCGTGTGCCTCTGGGAGCTCCAGCCGTGTACAGGTAGCTTTGGCACCCAGAGTTCTGTGCTCATGAGGAATCATGAACTCAAAGAATTGCTTTCGCTTGAGATGGAGAACCTTATTTCATGGAGGGGTTTGCAAAGGTCATGGACAGTGGTAGGGGGCAGGGAGCATCTCTGCAGTGTTTCTTTCAGAAACCTGGTAAGGGAAATCTATGAGCAATGGGAAATTTATGGACAGACCTCAGTAAACTTTGGACAAAGTTCCATAAAAGAGCAAAAGGATTTCTTGGCATGTTGAGAGGTATTTTTTGGAAAAGGGCATTCCAGGGAAGTCACCTTGCAGAATCCATAACCCTCATCTTTTAAAATAAAGAAAAGCATGTTCAGAAGTAGCAGGACAGATTCTGCAAGGGGGGGGGGGGGGAAGCAGCCTAATGCCATCCAAATCACTGGAATTTTATGCGACCCAACCTATAAGGTAAAGCAGAGCCCACTGGGTGGATTCACTCTGAGTACCAGTGCTGGTATTTAGATATAGTACAGCTTTAGCTTTGGTTAGCCTTTTCCTGCGCCCGTGCTCAGTTTCAGGCAGGGAGAAAGCAGGGAGGTTGTATAAACCATCTCTGGAGCTGGCAAGAGAGGAGGCGCTGCCCTTGGTCACCAGCTCAGCGCAGGACCGGTTCACATGCGCTCCCTTGTGCCAGACACTGAGCACGTACGGAGCGAGGGGCTGCATCTGCCCAGCAGCTGCGGTGTGGGTCGTGAGCTGAGGGGGAGCCCGGGGGCCTGGGGAGCCGCTGCGTCCATGATGGGGGTTCACCTGGTGGGAAGGTGGCTGGGTCCTGCCGGGGCAGATCCCGGCGCAGAGGTGCAGCGCCCGCGCTTCCCACAGGATGGGGGAGTTTTCCCTTGGTGAAACAGAAATTCTCTGCAAAGAGAATAAAAAAGAGGATAAAAGTGTTGGAGCACAGAGCGGAGCGCAGCAAACCCCGTCCTCCTCCTGCAAACCCCGTCCTCCTCCTGCACAGAGCGGAGCGCAGCAAACCCCGTCCTCCTCCTGCAAACCCCGTCCTCCTCCTGCAAACCCCGTCCTCCTCCTGCACAGAGCGGGGTGCAGCAAACCCTGTCCTACACAGTGGCACTGATGGTCACAGACCTGTCACCAGCCTCTAGTTATTCTTACTCAGTGCTGCCCTCATCTTCCAAGGGCGTTTAGGATGCTCTAAGATCATTCTTGGTCACATATTTAACCATAGGCAGTGCAATTAGCCAGTGTTAGCTGCACACATCCCTGCCCACAGATGGGTCACTCTGCACAGCAGCGCATTCCGGACGCTCACCTTGTGCAGGGTCAGGACTCCTCCTGCTAATGGCTCTGATGAAAGAACAGAACAGGAGATGAGTTGCAAAGGAAGGGGTGAGAACTCGTGAAACCCCTTCCCCACCCTCACCCCAGCCCTGCCCCACAAAAGGGGATGGGCAGGATGCGGCCACGCTGCACCCCATCCCGCTGGAGCCACCGGCACTTACCGAGCTGGAGCTGCTGTGGCTGAGCTTGTCAAAGCGAAACTTGAGGTTTGAGCGGGGAGAGTTCCTGTTCTTTATATCTGCTGGTGGGAGGGGGAAAGCAAAGAGGAAAAACCATCGCTGTGAACAGGAATATCTGCGGAAGCACAGTGCTGACTGACACCCGCCAGCCAGGAGCTTCAATAAACCGCTGCACTGGTACCAATATTGAGTCTGTTTTGGCGGAATGTTTGGCAAAATCTGTACATTAAATGTTTTTGATGGAACAAATTGAGGCTTAATTACATTTCAGTGGAAATGCCACTGAAAAGGCTATGGGAAATGACTGATCCATATAATGTATGGGTGGATTTTCATGTTCTTGGCAGGAAAAATACAAAATAAACACTTTAAACATTAGAAGGGGCTGGTTTGATAGTTCAGAAAATCACTAATGAATAAGGAGGAGGACCTGTGGGGTGCTGAGACACAAAAAGCCAGACAGACTGCGCTCTGCAGCGCGGCTTTCCCCATGTTGTTCCAATTACAGAGCTGTTCAGGGTGGGACTGTGCCTCCCCGGCTGTTTCACAAACAGCTCCGATGTTCCGAACACCAGTCCATTCTGGTGGTGGTGGCTCGGCAGCGCTCAGCCTGTGGGGATCTGAGGGAAGGGGCGAGCGCTGCTCACCCCCAGCCCATTAACACAGGATGCACCTGCAAAGGGCCATTTGTGCCAGCTCTACCCTGTTGCACATGGTCCGGCTGGAGCCGGTGGTTGGCAGCAGGGTGATGGAGCCAGGACCAGGGGAAGCTGCTTGTTTATTAAATAAGGAGTGAGTCATGGCTGGGTCCTTGGAGACAGTGAGTTTCCACGACTACTGCACATGCCAGTTGGGGAGAAGGGAGGAAACAAAGCCGCAGCAAAAGCCACCTCAGCGCTCTCATTTAGAAGGGAAACGAATTCCCATGGAAATACAGAATAAAGCACATGGGGCCACCTCTCCAGAAGAGCCCATCAGAATCAGGGTTTAGGGATGAGCGAGGGCTTGTCCTGCATCCCGTATGGGGTGTCCATCCTGCCAGTGTGAGTGTGTCCAGTGCTTCGCCCCATCACCTTCAACAGCAGCCTGCAGCTCAGGCAAGCCTCGGAAGGGATTCTCCATCCCAGAGTCACAGACCCCATCCCGGAGCTGCAAACCCCATCTCTGTAAGACCCAGGAGCTTCCAGAGGCCCCAGCAGTGAAGGCAGTGCCGGTGCTGCCCATGACCCACCTGTGGGGCTCCTGCTCATGATGACGGGGGTGGCCGCAGCCGCCGCGCTGGGGCTCTCACTGCCGGGCGAGGCGCTGTACACAAACACGTCCTGCTTGAACGGTGATGCTGTGGAGGGCTGGCTCCCCTGCACCGGAGAGACCACGGCTGCATCCCGGCCACTGAGCCCCATCACCCCCCGCCATGGAGAGCAAGATGCTGGCCCCGTGTGCTGAGCACCACCCAGTGCACTCCAGGGCTCATGGGGTCTCCCACCCAGCTCTCCTCCTCCCTGAACATGGGAACAGGGTTAAACCCCTTGACGCCAGCGGGGCAGAGGCACCCGGGGGCGCTTCCTGCACACAGAGACGGCCCGGGGGTCTGCGGGCAGGGAGCTCAGGGCCATGTGGAGCTGCGGGTCCCAATCCCGAGCACGCCGCGGAGGGCTCGGTGCCTACCACGCTGTCGTACTCCTCCAGGGTCTCGCTCTCCCCCGCCGTGCTGCTGAAGCTGCTGGTGCTGGAGGAGGAGCGGGAGATGTTCGTCCTCCCGTTCTCTTTCAGCTTAATAAATGGCCTGGGAAGAGGCAAAACAAAACGAAGGGCATGGAGCTGTCTCTTGGGAAGCTGGGTCCTCGGGCCACGACAGCGGGGACAGCCCCTCCTGCACGCCCTGCAGCAGAGCAGCTCCATAGGGATGAACGAGTGGGGTGCTTCTGTAAACAACCACTTCCAAAAGCAGGGGTAGAGCGGTTGGTGGGAGCCGCCACAGAAACCCCAGGGGCAGGCTGAGCTCCCTGCTCAACCCCTGCCGTGAGGATTTAGCAGCCCTTATCAAATGCTGTTCTTTGCTCTTTCCAGCTATTTCCAGCCCATAAAGGAGCTGTGCTCATGAATCACCAGGATCCGATTTTTCCCCTCCCTGAATTTCAAACTTATTTACAGTAAAAACTGGAGACAGCTTTGTTTGACAGAGCCCCCAGTGGTCTGCTGGGCTGCAGCTCCCCCTGCCTCACCTGTCCTTGTTGGGGCAGATTTCAGGGGAGCTGGGGTTGGACGAGGTCTCAGACTTCATCTCTTGGGAAGAATGTCCCAAATCTGGTGTCTTCTGAGCGCCAGAAACACTGTCACTGGGGGCACAGAGAGACAGGTTGCATGAGTTACACAAGAGACTTAAAAAGGATGGTCAAATTATACTTCCTAACACCAAACGCTAAACTGAAGGAGTGACAGATGCTCGCCGGGTACCACCACTGCGATTTAAATCAGAGGGAAGGGATCCAAGACACAGTTCCTCGAACACGGCAAAGGCAGCTCTCGTTGCTGCCTTGTGTGGGAAGGGGAGGCTGCACCCACCGACAGCTCCCCTGACGTTTCAGGTGCAGCAGGGGTTTCTGTCCTTAGTGACGGGCGATGTCACACTCACCACCTCGTCCTGGTCTCCGCCTGGCTCTCGGACCCCGTGTGCAGGCGAGGGAACAGCCCCGAGCGGCGCTTGATGGGGCTCCTGGACTGGTTCTTGGCTGCAGCTGCTGGAACTGGGGGCTGAAAGCAGAGAGCAGGCCAGGTTGGAGAGCAAAGCTCCTTCCTACAGGCCGAGAAGACTGAACATCCTGTGGGGAATTACGATGCCTGCAGCTCTCATCTAGAGAACATGTAACACCAGAATCTCCTTCGTGTGTCGGGCTGAAGGCCCCAGGAAGCTCCTCTTCAGCTCTCCCACAAAACAAGCCCAACTTGACCAAAGCAGCGATAAAGTCACGCTGTGATCAGTGACCTCCTCGCCCTTACACTTGCTGCCCATGCAGGGACAGCCAGACCCCGTCAGCACACGCAGTGCCCTGCCAGGCCGGCAGGGACGGACGGAGGGACAGCGGGACGAGGGGACAGCGCCCGCGCTCACCGAGAAGGTGGTCTTGGTCACCTCGCCGCTGTTGTGTGCGATGCCACCGCTGAGGCTGCCCGGGATGCTGCTGCCGTGGTGCTTCTTCTGGCTGCCCACCATCGTCTCCATGGAGTGGCTGCGCACGCGGATGGCTCTCTGTGCCGGAAGGGACAGGGGACAGCAGGTCACCACCACCCTGACCCCAAAGCCCCTGCCCGGCCCCACATCTGCCCCAGGCGCATCAGAGACCTGGCCAAGCACCAGCACGCACCAGCAGTAACCTGGCAGGTAACAGCAGCCACATTGCACTGCGCAGCCCAAGGACAAGGCACCACGGGGCTCTGGGAGCCCCACAGCCACCAAGTGAACAGATTTCCCTCCATTGCCTCTGTGACACCACACGTGAGAGCCAAGGACTTCAGCTTTGGGACTGGAGAAGCAGACACAAACCCCAGCTTCTGCTCGACCTCCCAAACCCCTCAGCAGGAGCAGAGATGCGCACACCCCCCTGTGATTCTCCCTGGACCCGGAGAGGACAGATCCAACACGGAGCCTCCTGCCTGCACCTCTCCTGCATGCTGATGGACTCTCCAACCTGGCCCGAAACATCCCCAGAGCTGGAGGCTGCCCAGCTGCACAGCAGCACTTCTGCTTTCAGCATGCGCATGTTTGACAACCACATTCAGCCTGAAGCTCTGCTGCTGCTGGTTTGGCCCATCTATCTCTGTGTGAGACCTGGAGACGGCATCATCCCCAAGCAGCCACAGGCTCTCCCTGCTCCTTCCATCTTCATTTCTCCCAGTCAAGCAGCCCCTTCCCTCACCCTTCACGTCAGCCACGATCCCCTGGGCTCTGGACGCTTTCCTCCAGCCTGCCCTTGTCTGAGCCACGTCACCAAGTTTGGGCACAGCTTCTCCTGCTGCAGCCCCACTGCTGGACGTAGCAGAGCACCCACCACTACTGCTGCTGCATAGAACTCCTCTTGCAGCTCAATCCTATGGCCAAAGATCTGTGTCCCCCTGCCAGCCCCAGCCAGGGGATGCACTCCCCACACAGCCTGAGCTCATGCAGCAAACCGCAGCCTCTGCCCAGCTGCCCCGGGGTATCTGTGTCCATTTTGGCACAGGCTGGGTTTCACAGGAAGGAGATGCCAAGGCCTTGAGCCCTTGTTCCCTCTGGCTTCACTGGATTGCTGGAGCTCCATGGCTGAGGGATGCCCACAGCTGGACATGCCCTGCCCAGGCACGGAGAAGGGACACCAAGTCCAACCCTGCTCTGTAGCAGAGCCTGGAGATGTGCCGGGCTGGGTCTGGGCATGATGGACTTGCAGTCCCCATGGAGCTCCCTCTGTGCCTGTAGGGACCAGCAGCCGGGCTCTGTGAGCATCAGCAGCACAAGCTGAAAGAGGTCTGCTGTAACCTGTTTTGTCTCAACACTGCTCCAAGCAGAGCTGCACACACTGGAGGCAGAGACCTTCTGCAGATCCAAACTGGGTGCTTAAACAGGACCCGAGCTATTTTTAAAGGCTCCTCTCAGTTGTTGTCCCAAGCACTTACAAATACGACCACAAGTTCTTCTCAGCGTCTGGCACACGCCAGGAAAAGAAGCAGTGAAATGCACAAGTTATAAAAAATCTATACCCATATTTGAATTCCTGCAGTCGCCATAGTAACAGGAGCCCAAACCGGACCGTGATGCCAATGTGCCAGTTACAGCAAAGTTCTCATCGCAGCTACTCCCTCTGAATTGCGGCTGCACTCTGCGCCGTGCCACGGCTACCTCCTCCAGCCCCTGAACCCCAGCTCAGCGTAAAGGGGTTCGGGAGGAAACAGGCCGTCAGGGATGTCTGGAGGTGCCCAGCACTGCCCCTGCTGCACTGGCTCCAGGGGTTACTGGCCCTGCACTTGGGTGAGGAGGAGCTGCAGCCCCAAATTCCCACTGAGGCCCAGCCCATGCTGGGGACGAGGTCACCAGGACAGCCCCACGCTGTCCCTCCTGCCCGTCCAGTAACAAGCACCAAGCAAGAGTCCATCAGACCGGGTTTATTGGGGTCAGCAATTGATACAAGTCAGTGTTGCAGGCAGAAGGAACCAGTCGCTCACTTTGCTGCCAGGGGCTCCAGTGGGTGCTGTGCCCTGCAGCAGGCGGTGTCTGCCCGGGGCTGCGGAGCTCTGCAGGGCACCCAGCGCCCTGCTCTGCTGCCCTGAGCAGCCAGTCCCACTGCACAGCCCAGGAAGGGGCTGCAGGCTGGGTCACCGGTGCTGCGGGGGTCAGGTCTCTCCCATCCCAGCCCCGGTTCACCACCTCTCCTCTCCCTGCTCTCTCTGGAGCATGCGGTGGAGGACATAAGCGAGCAAGCAGCCCAGCAGCCCAGCCCAGGCCATGGAGCTCCCCACCTGCCCCAGAGCACCCTGCAATGCCGAGAGAGCAAAGTCCACTTTCGTACAGGAAGAGCAGGCAGAGAATGATCATTTAACATCGCCTCAGCCCCTGAAGTTGTTGCTGTGATGTACAACTGCCAGCACCTCCATTTCCCCATGTCTCATAGCTAAGGGGCACATCTGAGCCTCCAGCATCCCTGCAGTGTGGCCAGGAAGTGCTCACCCCTCCCCTGCACCCAGCACAGGATGAGGTGACCCATCTGCCACCCACCAGTGCCCATTGCTCTGTACTGCAGAGGAAACGTGCCTGTCCCTGCTCACCCAGGCAGTGCCTGAGCCCAGGGGCTCCGGTGGACACCCACCCATGGGCACAGCCTGGATCTACACACACCAGCCCTGCCCAGCTCCCCATCACTGCTGCAGCCTCACCAGAGACCTCTGGCAGTGCTCACACCCCAAGACTCAAGTCCCCACTGCCCAGTGGGTCACTCCAACAGCGGCTCAGAGTTTTCTCTACATCATTTTATCATCTCCAACCCACTCCCCCTTCTCTCCCCTTACACTCACCCAACCCACCCAGCACACCCAGCACCGTTCCCCTTCTCCAAATCCAGCACCTCCCATTGTATCTCCTGTCATAAGCACCACACCAAGCACCTCTTACGCGCTGCCACCCCTGGGCATCCTTCCCCCCATGCTGTCCTGCAGGCTGTGTGCCACAGCAAGCCCCAGGGACAGCCAGCAGCCAGGGGACACAGGCAGGACCTGCCCTGCAGCGGTGGACCAGGACCCCTCTGGAGGGTCCCCCTTGTCCCCCTGCACCACTCATCCGCATCCTCCTTTAGAAGGCGCCTTGCCAGCCCTGGGTGCGTTTCATGCTGCAAGGGACGGGGTTTACCTTGAATGACTCCAGGAAGCCTCCGTGACCCCCGTTCTCCAGCTTGTCCTCCTCAGGCCCCAGCCCCAGCATGGTCTGTGTGTGCCCATGGAGCTCGTCGTGGAGGTTGTCCAGCAAGGCAGCCCGTGTCCGGTCCTGGGGAGCGAGATCGGGCTCATGGCACCGGCCCGTGGGACAGGGCAGGGATGTGGGGCAGGAATGGCAGGGGCGGTCCTGCCGGCAGGGACACGCGGGCAGCGTTACCTCCAGCTTCGCAAACTTGTCGGACTTGCAGCAGGCGTTCTCGGCATTGATGAGCTTGGTCAGCAGGAACTCACGGAATTCGGGGCTCTGCGGGGCACGGAACCACAGTGAAAAACACCCCGGCCATGAGAGCCTCCATCTCTGCTATGGAGCTGCACGGGCCCCAGACAGCTCACAGCACCCTGCGGCCCCTCCACACATGGGGCATTGGCTCGGGGTGCCCTCCTGCACTGGCCAGCACCCGCACATGGGTTATGCCAGCACAACCCCTGACCCTACCATAAACCAGAAATCCAAACAAATGTTTTCACACCCCCGAAGCCATGCAGGCGTGCTTGGAAACATCTCGGACATGCGCACGTACTTCTTTTATGGCTTGGAACATGCTTCCTGCCCCGGCTCTTACCTTCTGGAATACCGGCGGGCTCGGCAGGGGCGGCCCGAAGGAGGGGACATCTTCCCGAGCCGTGACCGACACCTGCGGAGCCAAGAGAAGCGTTATTCCAGTGGATGCAGCCCCAGCACAGGGATGTCCCTCTCCTGGGGTCAGCCAGTGTGGGATGGGAGATGCTCAGCCCAGCCCCTAAGAGTGAAGGGACACATCAGAGCTCCTTCCCAGCTGCCTCTCCTGTGCTCATGAGGGTTTCACCCATACCCAGCTTTTTATATTTCCTTCCCATTCGTTCTGTTTTCATTTGTGTCTCTCTCAGAAACCAGACCAGCGACAGGGTTTATGCCACCTGCCCTTGAGCGATGCATTAGACAGGTCTGAGCTGTTCTGAGGCTTATTCAGATACTGAGCAGCATCAAAAATCTTTAGCAAATGAGCACGCTACTATACATGCACATAGTTCATACACGTATGTATACCCACACATTATGTAACAGCGTGCACATAAATATACATGTGTGCATATATGCGTGTTTAATATCCACGTCCATAAGCTGTGTGGGGATGATTTGGTACAGCACGGCTGGGCAGCCACCCCCTGACCTTGGCCTGAGCTGCTGGAGCAGAACCAGGCTCGCGTGAGCTTCCCCCACCTTGTACGCCGTGTTTTCCGCCTCGGGGTTCTCCACCTGCACCACAATGTAGGCGTGCAAGAAGTTGGAGGCGATCATGTCTGGGACAAACGGCGTGTTCTCTTCTTGGAAGATAATTGCCACGATGTCGTTGCCAATGTGCCTCTTCCTCTGGAGCTACGCGGAAGAGGAGAACATTTGGTGGGTAAAGCCCGGCGGCGCTGCTCCCGCGGCAGCAAGCGCCAGTGCCGGGTGCTGGCGCAAGGAAGCTCATCCCTTACTTGCTGCGTGTCTCCCTCGGTAAAAGGCAGCTTTGTAGAGACATGAAACATTATCTCCCTGTCCCTGAACACGGTGTACACGGACTCTGCTCCCGTCTGCCCGTGGCTGACATCCAGACCTCCTCGAAAACTGGAGATGGAGGGAAAGGCAGGGAGAAACCGAGAGATATTAATTGAATGCTTCGCAGAGAGAGCAGCAGCTGCTGGAGGACAGGGAATAGAACCAACTGCCTCGTTTGTCTTTGTCTGGTAGCGAGCACACGGCACAGAACAAACTGTGCATCCTGTGCGGTAATGGCACATCACCACAGCCTGCTCAGCACGGCAGCGCCGAGCCAGCGGCTGAGGCTGCCCAGCAGCGGTGTCAAGCACTGCGGTGATGGGCTGCCCTCGGCCATCACCACCAGCCGGGGCTCTGCCCGTGCCGTGGCCGCTGCAGTGACCGGGCTGGCATCACACCGGGTCCGAGCGCATGGCACTGGACAGTGCGCGCTCCCGTACAGAGCTGCCCTCGTCTGCGGTGACTGCAGCCGGATTTTCTCTGCAGAAGGAATTCGCTCCCTCTTGGCAGCTCCCATTTCTTTAACTCCCCCAGCTTTGTCAAACAAGCCAGAGCTATATTTGCTTCTGCTTTGTACATCCCGCTCAGGGGGGAGGTGACTTCTGTTCTTGCACCGTGGATATTTTTACATATGACATGGTCTCTTGCTAAATGTTTTTGTAAAATCAGTCTTTTTATTTAACTTACCCTTTGAAGTCCTGGAGCGTTATGGTGTCTCCCAGAAAACTTAAGAAGTTCTTGAAGGCAGCGCTCTCTTCATTATTGCCAAACAACTCCTCCTCTTGGGTCTACGAAACACAGAGAGCATCTTTTGAGAGCCCCAGCTGTGCCTGTTTCCAGCAGCCAATTGCTCCTCTGCCATGCTACAGGTGGCACAGACACAACCATGGACACCACGAACATGGGGGCCCCTTACAAGGGTGCCTTCCTCATTTCACCCTTACAATCAAACCTTCCTATCAGCAAAGTGCCGCAGTAACAGAGAAAGGAACCATCCTGCCACAGCTCTGCTTGGTGGTTTCTGCTTGGGCCACCTCTCCCTGCCTGCCCACACCTCCTGCCCATCCACAGGGTCCCCAGGAGTGCCACCAGCACCTTGTCCCAGGGTGCCACACACAGCCACAAGCTGCTCCCCTGCTGGCACCACTGTGCTTGCCACGGGCTGGTCATCACCCACCCTGTCACCAAGATACCCAAAGTTGAAGCTGCTGAGAGCAGCTTCTGACCAGCAGTGAGGACCTCAGGATAATGTTCAGGAAACACCAAAATGCAGATGAATTCCCCGCTGGAAAATCCAAGTCTTGACCATCCCTCGGGTGCTACATTTCAAAACAACGAGACCTCAATTGTGGCCTTGCATGAGTCACCCTACCCAGAGTAAAATGCAAAATGCAGAGATAATTAGAGTGCCTGTCAGAATAATCCTGTGAGTTATGACACACAGCTGCCTCTGCACTCCCCATCCAGCATTCCCACCTAATGACAGCCTTTCCAGCAAAAGCATGTCTTCAGAGCCCGCAGTCCTCCAAGACAAACGTAACTGTTTCACCGTCTAAACATACATCTGATTAAAATACCATCCCTGCTACAACCCATTCTCACATCCCCTGCTCCTACAGCAGCCTGTGGGCTGACTTCCGCACCGAGGTTCCTCAGTCACATCACTTTTCAATGAGCCGGGGAAACATCTGAGCGGTAAGGAACGCATTATTGAGGACACCCCGCAACGCACGCGGCAGGATTAACTCCGCTTGTGAAACACAGACACGAGAGGACGGCGCAGGGAGCCCTCACCTGCCGGAACTTCTGGTAGATCACACCGAACTTGAACGTGTTGTTGACCTCGTGCTCATCGTAAGACACTATCATCTGGGAGGCCTGGGCAAAGCAAAATGTGAATTGTTTCACTGATGTGCAAAAGAGTCTCAGGGCAGCTGCTGGATCCTGGAGGAAAGGGGAGAATTAACCCTACCCAGCCTTCTCTGGTGGATATGTGACTGACCTGGGGTAAGCGAGCTCACCTTGGGGTACAGAACTGGGTTGAACTTCAGCCCAGAGGCGTCGTCGCAGAAGGCCTGTGTGCAAGGGGGAAGAGCAGTCAGTGCTGGACCCCTGGATGTGGAGGGGACGTCCCTGTCCTGCCACAGCAAGGCTGGGAATGTCTCATAAAAGAGCCAAATCCAGCCTCTGATTGCAGGAGCTGCCCTCTTTGCACCCTCTCAGTGGGATGCTCCGTGGCCTGGTTGGTACCCAATCGAGGATGCAGCAAGACAAGTCCCATGTGTCTCCATAGGTCAAAGGTGCTGACATTTCCTCCCCTCTTCCCCCACATATCAACCAGTGACCTGCCCAGAATCAGTGGGAAACCCACAGGGACAGTGCATATCACCAGCCACCAAGGGCCCCTGGTCCCAAGAGCCCAGGCACTGCTGCCCAAGAGCACCCAATGCTATCCAACACCACAGTGGCGTGGGCTTTGCTGCAGGGTTCCCAGCCCAGCCTGGTACTTTACCTTTGCAATCTGGGGGATGCTAGGGAGCTTGCTAAATCCTGCCAGGGGGATCCTTTCATGCAATGTCTTCACCTTGGACCTAGCAAAGCAGCAGAAAGGAGCAGACATCAGGGAGTGTCTAAGGCAAAGGGATGCAGAGTGCAGCCCCCCACAGTGATGCTGGTGGAAAACCATGTTCTGCTGGATTTATAGGGGCTGGTGAGTAAGGAAAGGCTCCATTTGTCTTCTCATCGCTGCAGCTCTTAAACTATTCATAGTTTGGAGGGAAGTGACACAACGGTTCAGACACGCTGTGCCTTGTCAGCTTACGGTGGGACAGTGGTAGATGTGACTGGCATTATCCCAGAGAGGATTAAACCCGGAGGGGCTTACACTTGGTTTCAGCAGGTTTAGCAGCAGATCAAAGTCTCGTGTTCCTTATCAGGGGGCAGGCAGCTCCCGTGTTAAAACAGTAAAAGGAAGATGCTGCTGCTTCCCACCCCATCCCATCCCATTCCATCTCATCCCTCCCTAAGCCCCTCTCGAGCTGCAGTAGCATGCTGCCAGCCTTTACTACAGAAACAAAACGAAAGGCTCCCAAAGGAAAATATTTTGTTAAACAAAGCATACCTGAGTATAATCCTTAGGTATTCGGTGCCGTCTGCCTCCTCACACTTAATGGAAAGGATCAGATTCCCAAGGCTGCTGGCTGTACAGTAAAAATTTAAATGATCCTAGAATAGAAACCATCAAAACAGCGTTAGTGGGGAGCAGCCTGCCCATGGCGAGGGCAGCCCTGTGCCTGGCTGGAGGTGAGGACTCCATTCCCTCCCACCCTCCTCTCCAGGACCAGGGCTTCATCCCTCTGCCCGTGGACCGCAGCACTATGCCCTCAGCCTTGGTCAGGTGGAGGAAGGGGATTACAAGCCTGGGAGCAAGAGGGCCATGGCTGTAACCCTCCAGTCCCTGCTATCCTTGCAAAGGGGAAGGTGCAGGTGCAGGATTTGCCCATTTTGCTCTCAGTTTTAAGCTTTCCTTTTATTCTTGGGGGTAATTTTCAGCCGACCACTTGCCCCCTGTGCCAGGGCACCCACCTTCCCCAGGAAATGCTTCCTGTAGGCTCTGGCCTCTCCTTTGCACTCCAGCTTGTAGCCGTAGGTGCTGGGGCTGAGGTTCTCCTCCTCCTCCTCGCAGATGCTGCTGTCGGATGAGGTCGGCGTGCCGAGGTTTTCCGGGTCTTCGATCCAGTATCCCCCAAACTGGGGCAGGATGATCAGCGGGTACGGGCTGCCCTTCTCCAGGATCTGCAGGAGATGTGCCCGTGAGGGGTCGGGCAGGACTGGGGTGTGGATGTGGGGTGCAGGGCTCATTGCCCCACATCCTGTCCCCCCCACAACAGCTCCCAGCCCTGGCACCAAGGCAAATCCAGCCCCTCCCTGAAAGCTCTTCTCTCTCTGCCAGAAGAGGGAATGTGCCACTGAGGAAAAGCAGCAGCTGCAAAGATGGGGAGGAGGAACATGCTTTGTGCAGCTCCCCTTGGAACGGGATTCCACCAATTCCTGGCATCAGTGGTTTTGGAAAGGCAATCGCCAGAAGGCGCTCAGGGTGGCTCAGGGCACCCACCTCATCGATGCTGGGGTACGGGATGTAGTCTTCCTGCAAAAAGGAATCAAAACACCGTATATGACCATCTGTTCCCCACCAGACATCCCTTAAGACCACATCCAGCGACTGCTTGGGTCCTCCCATCCCCACGCCCTGCACTGAGCACCAGGCAGTAACAGAGCGTGGTGCTCCTGATGGGTGATGGACACAGCCCCAGGAGCCTGGGGACACACGTGGGGACCCCTCTGTGCCCGGGTCAGCAGGAAGGCCCTGGGCAGGACAAGCCCTTCCCCAGGGGGTCTCCATTACCCGTGTAAGCTCTCAGCTCTGCAGCCCAGCACAAGGTTTTACCCAGCTCACGGCTGAAATGCACAGGCTTGGACGTAAAGCTGGATTAGGGGTTTACCCGCACCACTCCCTCATCTCTGCAGTTCAATCTGTGCCTTGCCTTTCAATAACATTAAATCTTTTTTAGTCCTTTCAGTGACTGTTCTTGGTGATGCACAGTAAAGCTCTGAGATAAGGGGGGGGACACCTGAAGAGACCCATGCAAGAAACAGAATTCAACCAACCTTGTGTTTTTGGCTTCCAGCCCTCTGTTCTTCAAGTTTTGGTGCCTGTTTGGAACAAAATGAATAGACTGAATAATTAAGATGTTCACGATGACACAGACAGAACCACAAGGGTATTTTGCTACACAGAAATCACCGACATGAGTGACATGAAAGGAGGAGGCTCTGCAGAGGTGCCAGTGTGCCAGGACAGACCCCAGTGTAACACAGGATGTGGCAGAACAAGACCTGGGAAACAGCAGCACCGCACAGAAAACATCTACACGAGACCATCATTTTCCAGGCACCAAACATAACATGCACCATGCAGGGGGAGCACTGCACATCCCAGCACCGGGGGTGAGCACTGCCTGCCAGCATCCCTCCTGCAGGGACAAGGCACATGTCAGGGGACACCCTGGTCCCCCGAGCGTCCTCCTTATGCACATCCTGATGTGTTTCAGTGTGGGACAAGAGCATGCCTTGCCCTGACCAGAGGGTACTGAGATACTGCTAGACCCAGCCGTGCTCTGCACCAGAGCCTGCTGTTTGCAGAGACAGGCAGCAGCATCCCCACTTTACCAGGGAGCAATGGGACCGGGTCTGAGAGCACGTGCCCTGCCCTGCCTGGCGAAACAGGGCTCACAGCGCAGGGGCTTCAGCAGCAATTCAGAGCAGGGTATGGTTGGAGAGGGGGTCCCGCCCGTTCGGTGCAGGAGGAGCAGGGGGTCCCGCATTGCTGGCATGCACACGGCTGCTCACCTGCATTTTTTCCAGCATTTCGAAGAATTCTGCAGACTGGAAAAGAGAAGAAGGAAGTCTCCTGTTCAATTCACAGACAGGAGCCAAGACAGCCCCAGGAACGCCCAGGCCGGGACACCGGACCCCCACCCCTTACTGGCACCCCGGCTCTCAGCAGGAAAGGGAAGAAGAGACTCCATCCATAACCGATGGCTCTGTGACATCCCCTCCAGCGCTGCTGCTGGGCAGGGATGGACACCACAGCTGCTCTGAGGGCCATGGCTGTCCCACAGCAGGTACCCCATGTGCAGCACAGGGAGCAGCAGCACAGGGAGCAGCAGCAGCTCCCTCCTCTCCTCCTGTGCTCTGTTCCGCTTCCAAAGCAGCTCAGGAAGATGGGCTGAGTGCCACGGGGCTTTGCAGCCCCGCAAGCATCCCCAGTGCATGGGGCAAGTGGCTCCCTTTCTTTGGCAACACTTGGTGCAGGGGGTCAGGCACAGCTGGATGATCCTGATCCTCATCCGGCTTTTCCTGCTCTCAAGTACAGGCAAATAAACGATTTCGCCAAGCAGCGGCTGTGAATGCTGAGGCATTCCCAGTAAACTGTTCCATGGCTTATCGGGAGCCCTGCTGCAGCCGCCCTGTCCTTCCTTCCCGCATCCTTCCCACCTCTCCTCTAACCCGTGTTTGCTCCCTGCTCATAAGACCAAGGGGCATCTGTGCTGCAGGTGATGCTGTGGTCCAGGAGGGAGAGCAGGAACCAGATCAGCAGCTCCAATGCTGCCGGCTACCAGAAACAGTTTGCAGAAGAGGGATGAGGGATTTGGGGCAGAAAGAGCCACGGTACCAAGGAGAAAGGCTTGGGGGCGATTTTAGTGAGTCTTAGAACAGACTGGATTTATCAAAAGACAAAAAGGAGAGGAAAAACAAACAGAAGGGGAGACGAAGAAATGAAAATCAAAACCCAAAGGAAAACCTCAGAGAGATTTTCTTCTAACAAACGTGGTGAGCAAAGGTTGGTTTTACAGCACTAGCAGCCTATGGCTGCCCCAGTGACACCGGCTGGAATGGGGCAGAGACACTGCCAGTGCAGGTGGGACTTGCTGAGGCCACGCTTCCAGCTTCACACTGTGCCCAGTTTAACCTCCTGCACCTACAGGAGGGAAAACAAAGCCCGGGCTCGGAAGAGCCTGAACCTGGAAGCCCTTTAAAAAGGCTTTTCCTTATTCTGAGCTTGGTTTAGACTCCAGTTCATGTTCAGGTCCCTGCGATGGACAAACACTCTTTGAGCAGTTGACACAGTTTCCAGGAGCCGCTCTGGCAGCAGCCAGACCCAGGGAACCAACGCGCACAGCGGCACCGGATCCACCTGCCAAAGGAGCTCCCCCGGGAGCCCGTTCATGTGCTCAGCGCAGCAGACGGCAGTCTGTGCCCTGCAGGGATTTCCGCAGCTTGGAGCCAGCTTCACTGGGCCGCAGGTATTTTGGTAATTATAGCAGAGACAATTACACCTTTGTGCTGCCCAGCAGGAAGCTGAAAGGTTCCAAACTGACCCCCATCTGCTTCTTCAGGGCAACCCAAGGCAACACGGAGGGGACAGTGTGTCCGTCCCCCCCCACCTTCAGCAGGACAGACCTGCCCAGGAGCAGGTCCAAACGGCCTCAGAAATCAAAACACTCCACTGAGATGCCACCGCTGCTTTTCCTTCCAAGCTCGTGTGTCCTCACCCTCACCACTGAGCGTGCTACAGGCAGCACGAGAGATGGATGGTCACATTCCGGTGCATCAGCACAGTGAAGGACACGGCCCCTCTCAGCAGAAGCTGCTGCAAAAAGTGCCCTTTGAAGGCTTCCAGAGAAAGATACCCCCATAAGGAAGCCCTGCACCGGTGGGATCAGCCAGGATGGAGCGCAGTGGGGCAGTGCTGCCCAGCACCCCTCCCGCGGGTCCGGGAGCACTCACCAGCAGGCCCCGGAAGAAATCCATCATCTTCCTGCATCACCACCCCATGCATCACCACCCTGCATCACCACCCCATGCATCACCATCCCTGCCTGTCCCACACCTCCTTCGTTAATGTTTCCCCAGGCCAGAGGCAGGGCTGCTGCTTTGTTGTCTCAAAGGGTGGCTCCCTGGGAGGCAAAGTGCCTGAAACAGGTTGGGCAGGAAGCGGGACAGGGTTTGCCAGGCACTACCGGGTGCCCAGCCCCGTGCTGGGATGCACAGCCCCATGCTGGGATGCACGGCCCCATGGTGGGATGCACAGCCCCGTGCTGGGATGTTCAGCCCCGTGCTGGGATGCACGGCCCCATGCTGGGATGTTCAGCCCCGTGCTGGGATGCACGGCCCCATGCTGGGATGCACCCTGCAGCAGCAGCAGGGCAGGGAGCAGACCCCAGCACCAGGAGCCACCTCTGCACCCACACAGCCGGGCTCAGCCTGTGTTAACAGGCAGAATTTCCATTTCAAACATGATGTGGGCAAAGGCATCCCTGTTCCCTCCCATTGCTCCAGGCTCTGACCCCCCTTGGGATCCCCCTCTCCTCCTCTGTAGCCCAATGAGGTGCCACAGCTCATGTCACCAGTGATCCATGTCACTTCCCACCTGCTTTGTGTGGAAAGGTCATGCACAAAACCATAAACAGCCAAACCATCAAATGCTCCACTAACAAACTCCTCCAACTCAGTGTTCTATTTCCAAACCCACTTGCTCTTAATCATTTAACCAGGTTCTCAGCTACCTCAAAATCCTCACATCCACTTCATCTCCAACTTAATGAGTATTTTCCTGGGTGGCTTCACAGCGAGCAGTCTGCAGCAACCCGGGGAGAAGAGCTACAACTGCCTTTGTGTGGAAAGTGGCATCGCTGAAACGTCTAGGATGGCTCTCACAGAAGCGGCTTTTGGTGAACCCCAGGTATTTTATCCTATTTTCCCATTCATTTCCATGTCTCAAATCGACTTTTCCTCCTGAATTCACTCTGAAGCTCTGCCCCAGGTCACCACCCGGCTCTGCATCGCGCTGCTTGGCACGGGGCTGCGCGCTCCCTGCTCGCCTGAGGCTGTTTGGGTGAGATAAACACGAGCTGGGAGCTGCGGAGGTGCCCAACCGGCCCCGGCTCACCCGGGACCGGCTTCCAGGTCTAACCAGGCTCTCGTGACCTTTCCCGCTGGGTTTGGGAAGATGCAGGAGGAGCAGAGCCTGCAGAGGTGACCTCGCATGGGCACAGCAGAGGGAAAGAGCCGCGTCCTGTGCCCCGCTGCCTCCACCACGGCAAAGGGCAGCAGCAGAGCGGCCCCTGGCAGGGTGAGCGCTGGGTCAGGCGCTGCCCGCAGCTCCTGCCTGCTGCCTCATGGTGGCTGTTAGAGGGTAACAGCACCGGCGCTCTGCGCCCTGCCTGGCACCGCTGCCCGCGGCCGCGCCATGCGAGCCCAGCGACACGCACACGGCTGATGGTGCCTGAACGCGCTGCGGGCTCAGCTCCAGAGCCCACCCACTGCTGCCCCCCCCGGAGCAGCCCGGACCCGTGCAGCCGCGGCGTTGGAAGCGCTGCTCCTCAGCAGCCCGGCCCCTCCGCGCCGCAGCCCCGTGAGCATCCCCCGCGCACTCACTCACCTTCATGGTCGGCGGCGCGGTGAGGGGGGGCGAGAGCGGCCGCTCCGGGACGGTCACATCCGTGCTGCTGAGCAGCTCCTGTTTCCTGAAAGAGCCAAGGCACAGGCGTGTCAGCGCCCCGGGAGACAGGCGCTGATCTTCCTTGGCGAAGCCGCGGGCCGGCTGCCGGGGAAGCGCAGCTTGAATCTGAGAAGGGACCAAACGGCATCAGAAGATGGTAAAAGCCATCTGAGGAGCCCCGTGCCCAGCGCGGGGTGGGACCCCTCTGCCCCGCTGAGCACCTGCCTTCATCCCAGGAGCCAGCCAGAGCCCGGCTGCAGGTCTGGGGCGCGGTGACAGGGATGCAGGTGGAGGAGGGAAGCAGGACTGAGCTGCTATGAACACCCATCCCCACAGTGTCCCTCCACTGGGAGGACTGCCTGGGGCTGTCCCTCCACTGCCCCACTGGCAGCCTGGGTGGTGAACGAATCTGATCCGAGCTTGGATGCAGACAGCTTGGTGACACCAGCACAAACCCAGGGACACCACAGTGCAGGTTTGGCAGGGCCCAGCCCAGAGCCCCTTTGCCAACAGGCACCTGGCATGGGCCGAATTTGGAGGCAGTGAGAGGTGTCAGGAGGATGCAAGACGCCAGGGCAGGGGGAGCAGCTCCCGTGCCATGGACCTGCCAAGAAACCCCACACAGAATCCCCCCAAACCTCATAAGGCACAACGTCAGCCCTCCACTGACTGCCTGATCCAAGCACCCCAGCCCTTTCCCACCAGCTGCTCCCCAGGCAGACGCCCAAGCTGCCGCTCGCAGCAGAACTGCCAGACACCGGCCTGGGAGTCAGAAGATCTGAGTTAATCTCGTTTCCTCTCGTCCCTGCCAGGTCAGTCCCGCAGAAACACGGCCAAAATGTCCCCCTGTTTATCTCACAGTAACCAGGTCTGGTTCCATGGCAGCCTGCCCTGGGATGGCACGGCACGGCACGGCACACGGCAGCCTGGACCCGCTGGGGCCATCTCCAAGCACACAGCTCCCGTCAGAGGTGCACTCCCGACCTCCTGTGCAGGGATGCAGCGCGGATGCTGTGGGAACTGCAGGCAAGTTTTCTACATACCATTGGTGCAATAGCAAGTGCAAAACCCCACTGGCACCTCTGTGACCAAAGGGGTGGCTGTTTGGCTGCATCCCTGCTAGCAAGGGACAGAAACAGAGCTTGGGAAGGGCTGGCTGCTGCTGCTCCTGCTCTTGGTAATAAGCAGACTTCTGCTCCTGATGAACCTTGGCTCCATCTCCCCCAACACATACACGTGTACATACCAGCAGTCCAGAGGTAGCCCCTGCACATTATGGTTGCAGGTAGGCACTGCAGCCCCACGCTCCTGCAGGGTCCCAGCCTGCCCTTCTCAGCACCACAGCCCACACTGGGAATTTGGCATCTCGTCCTGTCATTGTAGGACTGACTTCATGGCAACGCAGCTGGAGCCAGCAGTGCCAGGTCCCTAGGGCAGCATGATCAGACCTGGGGGACTGCCAGCTCTCAGCCCGTGCTGCTGGTGTGTTGCACACATGGAGACAGCAGCAGGGAGCTGCAGCGCCTGTGGCCAAGGGAACAGGATGCAGACAGATAGTTCTCATTATCCAAGGAACAAGGTAATGGACTCCAGTTGCAGGCAGGGGAACACCAGCTGGATGGCATGGGGAATTCTGGATTCAAGCCTATGATTCTGTCTTGGAGGGGCACAGAGGGATCGGCACAGCATGGGGGGACCTGGCCCACAACCCCCGGAACCCCACAAACCAAACCCTCTGTACTTGTTATTAATTGCTGGCTGCAGTTCCCACAGCCCGGGGCAGGCGCGCGGGCATTTGCTTTCCATTAGTTCATCTCGTTTAAGCTCTGAGCATCTTCCAGTTCCTCAATGCAAGAAATGAACTAAAGCAGTGTAGGTCGGTGTACGGGCAACAGCAGAATTCATTCCCTGCCCTTCCATGCTGTTCATCGAGCTCCTGCCCATTCTCCTCTCCACAACTCACCATGGCTGCACTGCTGAAAAGAATGCTGAGGATGACAGATTTCCACTGTTTGCTTTTTGACTTTCTGGGACACTAAAGCACAGCCTGATCTGGAGCAAACCACTCATCCTCTGCTCTCCTGCTTTGAACCATGAGCTCTGCCTGGTTGCTCTAATCTGCAGAGTGGCCTCAAAGGCATAAAATGTATCAGACTTTGCAAAGATTAAAGTTACAGGGATGCACAAATAATTTGATTTATCTGTGATTTGTAGCAGGTTGCCATAGCATCATATCCTAAGTATTGCAAAATCACTCACACAACTTAACAACATGTTCCTCTGTCACATGCTGATTGCTTCTTTGGGGCCAAACTGCTGGAACCGCTCCTGCAATTCCGGGGAGAGCAAAACAAACCCATTCAGCAGCCGCCGCGTGTAATTAGCCTCCATGCGCTGGAAATACGTTACGTTAAACTGCAGCCACCGACTGGGGTGACTCAGTCTCCCGTCAGCGCGGGGTCAAGGACCGTCAGCCTAATTCCTAAGCAGACTGCCCTCCTGGGATGCTAAATGAATCACGGGGAGGATCGGCACGTCCTTATCTGTGCGCTAGTGTGCGCGCAGGCAGAGCAGCCCCTGGGACCTCCCCTGAAGGTGCCACCAGAGCCACGGAGGCTGCCCCACGCTGTGACCCGCTCCCGCCTGGCGCCAGGGGTACAAATGTGCATGGAGCCCAAACCGCAGCGAGGGGCCCAGGGCCCACAGCAGCAAGGACAGGGTCAGGGGACACCACACAGCCCCCAGGGCACCAGCACCCAGCTCCCACCCACAGCACAGCCCCAGGAGCGGCCCCGGGACCCTGGGATGCCCTGGAGACAGCGATGCCAGCGGTCAGCAGCCTGCAAACGTCACTGCCTGTGCTGTGCCACAGGATGGACCCCGCGGGCTGAGACCCTTCCATGGCACAGCCCCTTGCATGCTCCACGTCAGCCTTCCCAAAACGCCCGCAGGCCTGCGCCAGGATGGTGAACACACAGCTCCTGCCCGAGCAGCCTGACTGCAAGCACATGAGAGGGCAACTGGGGAGCAGGGGAGAGAACACACAGCAATGGACATCAGGAATGGTGTGATGAGCTGAAGCCTGGGCTTGGCACAGCACAACTCCAATGAACACCTCTGTGCCCTCTCCCTGGCAGCACGGGACATGTGGTTCCAGTGGCAGTAACAAAGGTTACAGCACTGCACTCACTGCCTGGAGGCAACACCCAGGGCCCAGCAGCAGCCAGGGGCCTCACCCAGCCCCAGCACCCTGAGCCCACCCTGGCCAGGGCCAGGCAACCGTGCACAGGATGGGCAAGAGCCTCCTCCGGAGCTGCACGGCCACACGCGGCCTCTCCGGATGCAACAGGGGCTCCGTCTTTGTAATTTTGTTTCTTCGTTTTTCTCATTAGGCAAATTAAGAGAGAAGGAAAAGAAAGAATTAGAATCCTACATACTTAGTAAATCTAATTAAGGAAATACCTTAATGCAGTTACGCAGGCCCAACCGCAGGGCTCCCTAATGCAGACCGTGAGATCAGCCCTGCCACCGCAGTGGGTCCATCCCCCTCCCAGAGCCATGGGGATGTTCTAAGGGGGCTCCCTCCCATTTTGAGTGCATGGGCAATGGTGGGTTCCCAACACAGTGAGAGCAGACAAAGTCTTTCTCTTGTCTTTAGAGCATCCCTGTTCATCCGAAAATTGCCTACATATTCATATCTATGCCCCCTCAGCTTTTTCAGCTGAACTTCTGCCTCCAAGTGCACTCTTTTCTCTCGCTTTCCCAACCTAAAGCCTAATGAAAAACACCTAATGCATCCCACCTTCTTGTTTTGTTTGTCTGATTTAGCAGCCAGGCTCTAAATTGACACGGTGTGTTCATATAAATCACACATGGTGAAAGGAGATGTCAACCTATTACCTGACACAATGAGGTGTTTCACACTAAGCGATTGGCTCTACCAGTTGTTACACTGGGTAAATTAAACACAGAGCATTGTGGGTTACCTTTAAACCTACCCTTAATTCTGCAGATGAAACCTGATCTAAGGAGGTGCAGAACTCTTGCAGCAACAGGTTCAGCCTGTCCAGATGCTGCATCCTTCGGAAGGACAGCAAAGATTATCCTGTAAATTAACAGCCTCTATTTTTGGCCTCATCATTTTTCTGCCCTTGATGGCCATCACTTTGCCAGCTGCTCCCTTTTCAGCTTATTTAATATTCAGTGCCCAGCATCTGATTTTCACAGGAGACTCTGTCCCTGTACTGCTGTTCACCCTCCCAGCGCCGGGGTTAAGCCCCTGCGCCTGGCAGTGGTGGGAGCGGAGCTGGGGATGCTTGAACTCCCTCACCAGAGGCTCCTCTCCATCCCGCAACCTCTCCACCCCACTCACGTTGGGACTGAGCCCCCCACTCCTAGATCTGGGACCAGTGGAGCCAGAAGCCCTCGGCCGCCTGCTCAGACTGCAAAAGGAACTCGTCCAAAAGCAGGTTTTTTTCTGCAACAGCCACAAGGGCACCTGGCTGAGGTTGTGCACGTGGAGATCTGCAGTGAGTGCCTGAGCGGAGCACCTTACTCTGACTTTGAACAGCTCTCCATCCAATCCCGGGCACTCCAGGCAGCCAAGATCTCGCTGCATCATCACTCATGGCGGGGAGGACGCCTGCAGAGGACACGCGCTGCTGCAGGGCTCCCCCCGGACCCGGGTCTCATCCGGCACCCAGCTGCAAAGCCCCCGCTGCGGAACATCTTCCCTAATGAGCTGATTTACCTTGTCACGTCCTGGGCTCAGGCTGGCCCTGCCCCGAAGCGTTACCTTGGTGCACCGAGCTGCACCGAGAGTCAGCAGAGAACGAGCACAGCATTTTCTGCTCTACGTTTCTTGCAATAAATCACGGTAAGTGTGAAGTGCCAGCCTGCACCTGCGCACACCCCACGGGCAGCTCCCACGAGCGGCAGCCAGAGCCCTGCTCACAGCAAGGTGACATTTCACTGCCATGAGTTCAGCTTTAATCACCCCTCTGCACAGAGAATAAACACTGCTGG